ATTTAACCATCCTAATTATGTTAGGTATAAATTAGTATATTGAGGATAAGTAACTGTTTTAAACAAACCATCCAAGTTCCTAAAGGCCTGGACACCGTGATGTGGCATCAAATCCTGGATTTAGATGCAGACGCCATTATTGGAGCTCTTCTCTCCTGCTTGCTTGTATTGCGCTTAAATGCCGTTGATTCCAGTTCAGAGGTGCAGTGGGGACCGCTTCAGTTGTATTCCCCATTCAGCATTTAAATTAACCTTCGATGTGGCATACAAAGACCGTTCACAGCGATGGAGTGCTGTTAGGTGCAAAGCCTTATTTTCGTCGGAGCTGACCTTGAAGGCCACCCTTGCACACCTTATAGTGATATTGTTTATACTTCCACATAAGGGTTGGACGTATGGATTGCAAGAATCTACTTGACCAAGAGGAGTGTCCGTGTGCTGCAAAGTACTCAAACCCATTAATCTTTTCATTGAACTTAATTATTGCATAAGAAGTGCAATACAATTTACACCCTTCTATTCTGCATTTGTCTGTGATTGTCAGCATGATTTGTGGATGGGCTTTTGACCTCCTTTTAGTGAGGATATGAGGTCTGATGCATTTCCACATTGCATTGGTCCAACGCGTCATTTCAACCGATATGCCACATTCCTAACCTCTGCCCCCTCCTCCCTCCTAGTTTGCTTCTCCGTGAGAATTGATTTGACATCCAACTTGCAACTAACACAGACGATATATCCGCCTACGTGTCTGTGTATATTGAGTGCTTCTTTTTCATTTATGCGATTTCGATTCCTTTGCATTCCCATAAAAGGCCCCCACATATTTAGGCATCGAGTTGGAGCAAGTTTTGATTGGAGAGGGGGAGGCAGACTTCAGTGTATTTCAGAAGGAATAATCACTCCATCTCCTTCCTGCCCCCTGTGTCTATTAGCAATTCTTACTTTTGGCGTTTGTTATTGCTTTTATTTTGCAACTTCATATCAATGACCAGTGAAGCCTTTAAGTGCATTTCTTGCGTTTATTACATTCGAGTTATTCCTGTATCAGTTCATTCCATCCAGCGACCTGTAAGTGCATCTCTGACTTTGTTTATCTATCCACCTTTTGCACTGCATGGAGACGTTTCGGCGGCTGCTGAAACGTGCTGCGCGTTCTTTTATAACATTGCCTTCACCACAGTCTGTTTCGAAAGCAACTTACTACATCATTGGAAAGTGGCAAATTGGAGCACGAAGCAGATCAAGTCATGCATAATCGCCTTCCTTTACGCCTTTCACATGCACAGACATCACTCACACAAAAACGCACCTGTTGTGCCTCGGAATGTATCTCTGACAAGTCTGTCATCGCGTGGGTGGCCCAAATGGTCTCTCAGTGTTTCCAAAACCCTTTGATCTGGCAAGCGCAAGCATCAGTTTCTCCTATCTGTTTCGTCCAGAACCTCGTCCCGAGAACACGTGTTTCCAGTAGTTCATTCATCCTCCTACCCACCCATTGGTCGGGAATTGCTCATCAAAACCAGGTTTTTTTTTTTACTTCCTATGAGTCACACGTACACACAAGGTGACTAATGGCTATCTGTGTACACACCGGTGTTACATCGAGCAAAAGAGGGCGGCTGCGTTTCCCAGCGCAAAACCATGTTTGCACCGCTCCAGGAGCTATGAGGCTGGTCGGATGGGTGTTAGGTCAATAAAAGAATCGAAAACTGCGTCAATTTTTCTCCCTCCCTCTCCCTCCTTCCCTTCCTGTCACTAGGATTCACCAACTATCTGAAATGCACGATCTAACATTTCGGTTAGATATTTTGTAACAGTCGATTTGCTTGGGCACTTCCAAGGCAGCTTCGTCAATTGCTGATTAGACTCTCCGCTCACTTGTCGGGTAGTCATTGTAGTGACGGCGGGGGGTGGGGGTGGAGGTTGCTACGATTGGTCGTTTTGACACCCTGCTATCGGATTTTCTAATGCATTATCTTACTGAGCCTTTTGGCGATTTCTTCATGGTTAGACATCGATGATTTTGAAGATTTTTCCTGTCTGAAACAAGGTTTATTCTACTACCAAATCCCTGTTTAATGCACGTACGCACTATCTCTCTTGCCCGCAGTCTTGATTAACGGTGTCTGGAGAGGCCCATGATGTGTGCGCCGGCTGTTATGGCGTGAAGGACATGTTTGCTCCTTGCTACCACTGGGCCCTGGGTGGCATGCCTTGGGTCACACACTAAGTCATAGTTTAACTTAACCACTCCCTCCTATCAAAACTGACGTTTTCCCTATTCAGGCACTTTCCCAAGAACCCATCTTTGCGGGAGGGTATTAAGAACTTTGTCGATGTACGCTGGGGTGACTTCGTCCATCCTCCTGATGCAGATATCTGGAGTCAGCATTTGCTTGAAGGTAAGTTCTTACTCATGCCTCTATGTGGCTCACTTTAGCTCTCCCTTCTCTCTTTTCTTTTCCATTTTTGTGAATTTTTTAACGCCTGCCTTAGGTGTGTGCGTGTGCGTGCGTGCGTGCGTATGTTCCTCCCGCTGTAATCACATGGAAGGCGAACACATGATTTGTTTACATTCTGTGCAGTGTGTAGGGTAGGGTAGTACCATGCGGCGCTGCTCTCCCTTCATCACACATTTTTTTGTGTTTAATTAATCGCTGATCTTCATCATGTGTTAGTTTTACTTCACCATAATGCATGTCGTGGACTACTCTTCTTTACGTTTTACTCATTACAGTGTCAGTAGGTCAATTATTCATGCTATCATGAGCACCTTAAAGCCATTCGGGGCAGAAGGGATGAATAGCTGCACTGTCTTTCGTGATGGATTTTAATGGACGGGCAAACAAAAGTATACACCTCTGCGATATGATATAACAAGGCAGAACTCGGTAGATGTGTACACGGTCAAGTGCCGATTTAGGTCTTGTTTGCCCTCTCTATGCTCTTTTGCCCCGCTGACAGTGGGGTGTTGGATGGGCAGGAAAGATGGCTAGAGGTAATACCACCATTGTCAGCAAATTCGAGTTGGTCTACAACTAGCTTATTTTTTTACGAGCTGTGCTTAATTTCTGGCTTTGTATCGAACATATTTCTTGTCCGCATAACTTCCTACCATTTCTGGGATGATGGCTGGTTATTATCAGCACTTAAATTGCAATCTTGAAGATTGAACGATAGTTTGACTCAGTTCAAATCACTTCAAAATTCTGAGAGTTTAGCAATTGATGAATAGCTTTTATTGGGAGAACTAATCAGTCAGTCAGTCAGTCAACAAGGTAGGAGGTGGTGAATGGAGAGGGATAGCATCGCGAGGGGGTATTGAGATGAAAGTACAATGTGTCGTCTTTTGACGATTGTGAATTGCTATTGTTTGGAGGTCCTCTTGAGCTCTCATCCCTTTCTATTGTGATTCTGAAGGAGGTGTGGGAGAAAAGGGGTGTGTTGAGCGATTGCTTTGCTCCTTGCCTCACCGCTTCTCCCTGATAGTAGCTCTGCCTACCTCTTACAAAGCTAGAAAGGTTCATATCATCTGTGTATGCAAATTTGTTCTCCTTACTATTTCATGCCCCTAAGCCATAGAAGTTAGAGTATTGAGCCGCCCTCCACTGTAAATTCGAGTTAACTTCCTATTTCCTATGCTTGAACTTTGACTTGAACTATAGGTTTGAGGTATTTATGCATTCCACTTTCTCGTTGAGAGTACAAATGTATTCTGATTAAGTTCTTCCTTGTCCATTCCAATCAATTTCTTTTTTCGTGACTCACTTCATCTTTTTTACCACACTTCTTCGTGTCCCCTCACTGAACTTATGGGATTTGGTTCTTCCTGTACCTCCGTTCAACTGCGAAGAAAGGCTAAAAGAGAAGTTAGAAGTGGTTAAGGCGGGGAATGCATGGATCTGGGGAATAGAAAATCTGTCAGTCACCTTGCGAGCTTCTAATTCCTACTTTCTGATTCTCAAGCCGTTGTCTATACCTTTGGAGTCGTGTATCATCTGGAGCGGTAAACAAGCTGCTGAATATGAAAAGTGGATTTTCGAGGGTTAAAATTTCTAATTTTGAACACCTCATTTTGAGCTAGTGGTTGCGTGATGGCGGATCCTAAATATCTATTTTGAAGGTCTGGGGTAGTCTTATGGGGCGCCAAGCAGTACCTACGGCTGGGAAGGGAATTTTTTGTGACGAAATTGGGTCATTACCTTTAGAGATCAAAATCAAAGTTTATACTCTGGGAGATTGTATATTTCTCGAAGGTTCTTAGCGTTCACGAAGTTGGATCGAAAGCTAGGTGTCGTTTAATTCCACACCTCTTTCCTGAGTTTTGCTTATGCTCCTGACAACAAAGCGTGTTCGGTGCTTTTGGAGTTTAAAATTCAAGGAAAATAGTTTTTTATCCATACTTTATGCATGGTTGTTTGTTTCCATAGCATTTGCGGAGGCGGACCGATGGCGCGCGGTCCGACTCGCAGCGAGTCAATCCCCACCGCCGCCTCCGACGACTACTGAGAATGGCAGTGGCATCGGAGGCGGCAGTAGTAGTGGTGGAAGCGGAGATCAGCAGCGGCGCCGGCGAGTGAGTTCGGGCGGTGGTGCATCACAGCCACAACAACAAGTGGTCTCCACCACCAGTCGTCTGAGCCCGGATATAGCAGACTCAGCTACCGAAGAGGCGCTGCTACGGCGTTTTGTCCTCTCGCCCCTGTATCGTGCTCGTTGGGGCGGCCTAAACGATGTCTTTTACTTCCGCACTGTCAGTTTGCCCTTTCTACGAAATCAGAGTGGCGGTGGTGGTAGTCTGGACGACAAAACTATGGTCTCCATCACCAATGAGACTACCAATGTCTTCTCGCCTACTTCATCGTTTGAAAATTTATTGCTCCTCAGTTATCACTGTATTCTCGGGTGAGTTCGGTGCTTATTTATGCTTCATACTTGAATCTGTGGCACTCTTTAGAATTGATAGATTGTCTTCCAAACCAAATTTGCTGTCATTTGGACCGATGAAACCGAACCAGTACTCGTCTCGTTGTGTGACTTTGGCATTTTCATTAACTTTTCTACTCTGCATCTTTAGGGTGAATAAACTTTTTCATGCATTCTCCAAAGTCGGCACCATGTCTGAAGACACTAGATGACACACTCGCCCGAAGGGGGGATTTTTTTATGTCAAATTATGTGTCCTATGCATTGTGGACATAAAAGGCACTGACACAGTGGACCAGCACCCCTTTCAGATTTTGTATTGAAACACTATGTAAATTCACTTTAATCCATTTTCAACTGGGTGGTCTTCCAATTCCGGGCGCGGTTGGCCGAATGTCTTAGCTCAGGGTCTTTAAATTTTAGTAGCCTACGTGGCTTTAGCACCATAAATTACGAAGTGAAAAAGGTGTCCAAAGAGGGTATGTTGCACTTTATCGCATTGGAAGAGGTCGACACAGAGGCAACAGCCGTGGTGCTCCTTCATCCCCATGGGTATAAATACTTTTAATCGTACGTCTCCTGAGATAATAACCGTCTCCTCTTTTCCCTAGGAAAGTTCCAGAGGACGCATTGCTGGAATCCGTGGGAACAGGCGAGACAACCGTTTTTGACGCGGTAACCCTCCGAGTGGCTCAAAAACCTACCGACCTCGCTCCTCTTAAGCATACCATTGCCTCTGCCTTTCCAGTCTCCGCCACCACCACCACTACCACCAGCACTACCACCTCCTCCACCTCTCCCATGGCACACCTCGCGCGTGTCTTCTGCTTCGATAACCTCCTTTCGGACTGCAGTGAAAGTGGTGGTGATGCAAAGGTTAGAGCCTACTCTACAACCTCTTTCTACTACCCCTTTACGCATCCTAAAGCCTCTAGTCTATGGCTGTGTCATAAGTTCGAAGCATGCGTCTTAACTACCGCGAAATTGACCAAATGAACGGTTGGCATCAAGCTCTTTTCTTTTCTGCACTAGTACTTTACTATTGCGTTTCCTTTTTTCCTTCAGAAGTCTACTTTCATACCAGCCGAATTGAACACAGCTAAAGTGATAGCCCTCTAGATATCTACTTGGATCCATTAACCCTGTCATGGGCAGTTCTGTGGATTATTCTCTTCAAATTAAAAGAGCAGGTAGCTAAATTGATAGTTGCACCTCTCTGATCTTCCATTGAAGTTATGCTAGCCACTAGTGCGTAGTCCAGTGTGTACACATACAGAAGGAGGATTGCGCGTAAAACCGTCCCCTCTGATTGGCTGACTGGTGTGTTGCAGTTCTGTAACAAACATTCCGCATCTGCGTCACTGCACTACTCCCCTTCTGCATATCTCCCGGGGTTTGCGTTCACGTGCACCCGACCTCGTGCCTCATGTGTGGATTTCATGTCAACTTACCAGGGCCCATCAATCGAGAGCAAAATGGCATTCCACGAGGCTTGCATTGACCTGCCCCCTTTCAATATTCTCTTAAAATTTTTCAGTCCTGGTCAGTCAGCCAATCTGGAGAGTTTTGCTATCATCATCACAATAGTCGTTACCGTCAGCAAGGCCACCGGTCCACCGACCCATATCGGTTTTTCGAGCCGCCAAAAACGCAGCAGGACTCCTTTCCTGCAGGTTCATGCCCCGCCTCCTACTCTAGCGCCCACTTAGCTCCCGTAGATATTGATTGGATTGACCAGTCTCAACCTCTTGGACATCAACATCAACAGAGGCAGCAGCAACAATACTCAGGAATGCCCCGTAAGTCTTATCTCCTTTGCTTAAGGACATAATTATCGGGCGAGTGGGAGAGCTTGTCCATATAACCTCTCGAGAGGCATGTAAATGCATGTTGCTCCTCTGTGACTTGTTTTTATAAAAGCTGGTGCGATATTAATTATATTCGCTCTCCTTGGTCACCTATTCTGGTTGCACCTTTTCTACTGCTACTTTCCTTTACGTCTGTTGCTGGTATTTATGCACTAGCTTATGGGCGGGCAGGCAAGGAATCTGCCCAAGGTAGATGAAAGAGGGCCACAAGAACGCTAAAAGTTTTGCTCCTCCTTCCGTCTTTCGTCGATTTCATCAAGGTTGACATCTCTAAGGTCAGGAAATGTTTTTCTTTTGGAAAAGGGACGCCGAAGTAAACGTACTTCCTACAGCAATAAACGTCTATCTGCGATATAAATGTTTCTTAAAGTTCACCTTCCTTTGGGTGTGAAATATTAAAAACATAGCTGAAGGATGTTTAGGCAGAACCAGGACATTTGGTTTCTTCGATTCGGTTCATGAAATCTGTGACGCGGAATGTTGTAGTGTTGTTGTCCTCGCCATTTCCTCCCAAACTTGTGCCTTTCCATTCATTGTACAGAGGTTACATCAACAGTTGTTCCTGCACCCTCGACCACATTGCCTGCAGTGGGTCAAAAGGAAAACACCATGCCTACAGAGGAATTTCATCAGAGGCTTCAACATCAGCGATTTAAAGGTCCCACAAGCACCTCTGAGACTCCGAAATCGCCTCCCCCTACCCGACCTTCTGAGTTGAGCAAGGCGACAACACAACACGATCGGTGAGTGGAAAGTAACGTCGTCCAGGCTTTTTTCATTGTGGTCTATCACTTGGCTATCAGGTTGTGGCTACAGAGTGCACAATGTCGTGTTACAAGGTGATTTACAGGTGTATTCTCTTGGTCTGAGATTGATTACAAGCCTTCTTTGTCGGGGAGCAATAGCTTGTTTGGTTGTTTTGGTAGCACGAGGTGCGGTGTTGGTCTAGAACGGTAGGTTATCTGAAATGCGACAGTCGATTTCCCTCCTTGTTGCGAACTGTTTTGGTTCGCATTGATGTCGTGTAAACAGGCAAGGCCAGGGGTGTGGGAGTGGAGTGAGAGAAGGTAGAGGCAATTTGATGTCGCTTACACAACGCCTGGGCTCTTTTGTGTCCTCTTGACAGTGAAGCAATTCAACTGGCGACACTTTGAAGTTACATATCCCCTACCGTTTTTTGTCCTATTGTTTTGGTACAGAATTTCCATCTTTCTGAGCCTCCTTTTGCCCGAAGCAATACGGGAGATAAAAGAGGCTGTCTCAGCCGAGCCTGACATGGTAGCACAACGGGTGCGTGCTATTGTTACACGACATCTGGGTCCGGAGATCCTCTCCAAATTCTTCTCCAACCCACAACAGCCCTCGTCCCCGACTACTAGCGTTGGTGCTGCTGCTCCGCCTCCTCCCTCCTTGCTGCCACCGCCACCAATGCCAACTCAGTCTACTTCCTCATCCACGGTGGCATCGTCTGCTCGTAGAGCTGCGATTATCTCCACGGAAGGTAGTTGTTGTGGAGGTAAGTCGTTTGATTGATGATTTTGAGTAAGTTCCATTGAGGAGTTGCCATCAAGATTTACCGTTATTATCACTGCCAAAGCACTCGTGGCTAATGGTCATACTATGAGTCCTTTCCTTCTAAACACTCACTTTGGATGATTGAGTAAAAGTAGAGAAGGGCCTTCTTATTCTACTTAGATGTCTTAACTTTGGTCCTGTCGGGCTAGATGGTTGGTGTTCTCCCTGAAAGATGTGTGGAAGCTCCTGATAGCACTTCATAGAGATGCATTGTTCTGTTTGCTTATTCTAGCACTTCAGTTCCTACAGGCTGGGCTTCCGCTCCAAGGCATGGTTAGGGGGTCGGACTCCCGCACCAGGACTCAGAGTGCTCTGGCCTCCTCTCGGCTGTTTAATTAGTCCAATTAAGGTGTATTCAGTTCAGAGCAGACTAAATTCACAGAATGAAATCATGGTTGTTTTCTCTTTCTTGCTAGTGCAATTTCATCTCTTCCAACTGTGCATAAAAATTATTACTGCCTTTATGTATTTACGATGAACATCGACAAATCGTAAACACTTGATGCAGCCCAGCCTTTGCTCTTGCAGATCAAAAAAGGCAATTCAAGGATTTTTTTTAAGCGCCTCAACAACTGTGTGCGATTAGGCAGAGTGAAAAGCTACATCAAAGGTTTGTCATCTTATTTAAGGCATGAAACATTTCGATGGAATTTGGTTTTTGCTTCTGTTAGTCGTGAATGTTACGTTTGTTACTGCTCAACAGATAGTGACCCTCCTAGGCTCATAGGGAGGCCGTGGTAGTAGTGATAGGAGTCACGTTACTCATACATGTCTGAATTCACTAAGTTCGCAGTTCCATCCTGTTTGGAAGTCGCATTGGGAGAAGGGAAATGGGCTGACTGTGTGTCTTTGCACATCGGAAAGTTTTCCTTTACAAGGCTCTCTCATCCACATCTGGTCATTTTATAAAACAATGGAGTCTAAAATACCGTCAGGAGGACTGCACTTGGCGTCAGTTTCTCTTTATCCCCGCTTTGTTTCCCTTCCTCTTCCCTCCATCTCTTCCCCTCCCCTCCTGATCATCCAAATATTCGGTTACTTTTCAACCAATGGGCTGGAAGGAATGCGGGCATCTTGTGTCCTTCTCATTGCCATATTTATGCTGGCACTGCGGGTAGCTCCCTAGTAAGCTACTGTTGCTTCGCTTATTATGGCTGGACCTCATTTAAAAGCCTCTCACTAGGAGTCTTTGCAGATTTCCGTTCTTGTCAGCTTTATATTAAGGTTCAGTGTATAGCAATTTAAGTCAGGCTGATTCGATCGTACTCGGTTGTTGCTACCACCATAGCAAAGCTCCATATTTTTCCGAATTAATTGGGAAGTCACAGCACTCGTTACAGAAAATACATTACTGATATTCAGAGGAGCTAGGGCTGCTAACATGATCTGACGATTATGTTACCAAACGGAAATGCAACTTACTGAAATTCACTTGCGCGTACAATCAAATTCAAATGTTAGCGAATAGTCACAGGGCAATAACTCGATCGTCTTGTGGACATTATCGCTAGTTGACAATCCGGTAGTCATACTTCAACAGTGTTTGATTCATAGTATAAAGTGGAATTCTTTCCTACTTTAATATCTCCTATACACATTTTAACACCAACGGGCTGTTCTTGAAATCATTTGTGACTTTCCCTGCTGGGAGGATGCTGACTTGCAAATATAGCTTCATGCCAAAACCCATGTACTTTTTGTGGCTACGTTGAAGGGTTGCAGTTAAAGAGCAAAGACTACATGCTAATAACGTTCAGAGTTATCTTTTTGAAATTATTTTATCTGTACCAAATAATGCACAATAGTAGGGTGTATTTGCTCTATATCTTTTAATATCGACGAATGTGGAACTATTTTGTCGTGTCGTTATCTGCCGAGGAAAAAGGGTCTATACTTATACGTTGTCCCCGAGGTAAGTAACCAATCAGGTTGGCGGGAGAGTAGCTCGTATTTTTGCCTCAATGGCTAAGAAACCTGAATGCTCAATTCGTCTGTTCACCAATTCCTCGATCGATCGACTGTTCGATGCTGTTTGTGCCATCCTATCCAAGATTGCATATCTCACTTTCTAGATGAAATAGATTGGAAAACACTTTCTAGCTCAATAAAAAGGTTGTGAATTTTTGACTTTGTTATCTACCCTATTTCAAGCCCGTTTTGTGATTCTGAGTAGCATCATCATGAATGGTGTTGTGTGTCGTCTTGTTCACGACTAAAATTTAAATTTTACTTTCTCAAGAATATCGATTCAGTTGAGTTTATTAGTTATAAGCTGCATGTGTTACGCTTTTGGGAGCCGTTTTCTGTATTTACTGATCGCACTTGAGTATCCTCACCGAGTGATTCTCCCAAATAGGATGTGAAAGCCACCTGAAAATTATTTTCGAACTAATAAAGTGAGTTGTATTGTCTGCTCATAGTAGACGCTTGTAATGGGAACTTGCTACCTCAAAAGCCTTGCCTTGCTCTTTATTCAGGCACCTACATTGATGGAAATAGCAGGGTTGCTTCAACCGCAGGAGGCTCATCTCAACCGTCGGTGGCTCCACTGCTGTTGAAGGAATCTCCCACAGGCGTGTTGCCACCGCAGCAGTCAAAGCGACCTTCCCTGGTCCAGGAGCTGTCTGTCACCTCCGACTCTGATCCACCGCCACCACCAGTCTTTTACAGTTCTACCTCCGGGAAGAATGACTTCTCTTCACTCTGTTCTGTTCCCTATGGAGTGAGTTCGGCTCGAGTTCTTTGTTTCGATGTTATCCTCTCTTTCCAAAGCCTTTGTTTTGAGCGATTTGTTTGTATTGATGACTCGTGTGGCTCGCAACATCTTCGGAACTTTTGTTTAGCTGTTCAGTAGGTTGAGGAGTCGCTTTACACTGGTAGCTCCAGTTCTGCTATGAAAATTTGGTCTGAAGGGTGTTGTTAGAAGTGGGTGAATTTCACTCTGACAAGATTAGTTAGCTGACTTTTCTTGAACAAACTAGTACCGGACAATTTGGCTACTCTTTCGAATTGCTTTCCACTCTGTTGTAAGTGAATCATATTGAAGTCTAATGTCATCATTCATTCCGCGAAATTCGCTTAACTGGTTTGACGCGGTAAGGAGGGGAAGCAGTACGAATTCTTTTCTGTTTGGATCCTGAGACTCAAAAGTCTGCTATCCGCTGTCTATAAATGACCATGTTAGGCGACCTACGTAATAAAAGAGGGGGGAGTAAACTTCATTGCATTTCTGTTTTCCGAAATTTATGCATCCCACCATTGCCAAAGGAAAAGGAAAGGCGCTATTTGTTTCATCCTACAGCCATGCAGGTGATACCCAGCCCCATCACGTGTTCAGACCCGTAAATGTAGGGAGTGAAATTAGTGGTTAAACTAGTACCATTTCTGAATCACCGTCCTCCACATTCCCTTTCCGTGTTTGTACATGTATTTTTGTTCACTACATCCTCCTCCCCTTCTCCTTTAAATTAGGTCTACCTTTGATGTGACCATCATGTGCACAAGTACACATGCAGGTGGTAGTTGTTGGCTTTGGTTATACCTAACTGTCTGCCTGCATTTTATTGAGTGGACTGACTACAATGCATGTCTGCCATAGAGGAAGGCAACAATGTTTCCAAATGCATTAGCCAGGGACTGGCAAACCTATTTTACATCACATCCAATTCTTTTTCAAAGGTTGCGCTATTTCATAATAATTTGGTGATATTCACTATATCACGCACTTAGGAGTAAATAATAGGTCAAGAATGACCATCGTTTATTGGTAGTCCAGTCTACTTGCTGTGCCATAGTTTGGGGTTGTGAAAGTAAGACTAATCTAGATGATAAAGAAAAACCTAAAGAAAATACAAGAGACAAGGGCAGAAATGCGTCCTACCCATCCTTTAAAAAATCACCTTTCCCCATCCATTCGCCCTCGCATATCCCTCATTAAAATCAACTAGTGAGGGTGGAGGAGGAATTGGGCCTCCACACTGAGTCTCGAGTAGATGCAACTCAGCTGCGGTTGATCTTA